CGAATGGTAATGTGTTTCTAATAGTCAGGTAATTGTTATTACATATTTCTGGCGTCTAGTAGAATAAGAAAGATCATCAACAAGCAAGCATTCAGGCATACATTTTTTTCGAATGACTTGTCCACTTGGGAAGGCTATAAGATGTGAATGAGAAGTGCTATAGTTGTATATGGTATAATCCCCCATGTAGACACTCATATTCTGGTATAACAGTGCTTTTTTCCAATTTAGCTTATGTTGCTTTGCAATCGGTTTAAGCTAAAACAAACAAACAAAAAAGCACTCTTAGTCTGGACCAAGAATGTCCACATGGGACTCATACCAGTATAACTATAGCAGTTTAGCCATACCAGAATAATTATACCAATATAAGTGGGAAAATCCCCCATGTGGACAAGCCCTAAGTAAATACCGGTTCTTGTGAAAGGTGCTAAATTGACAGCCCTGGAAATTGAAGACCTCAGTTTATCCACAGTATAGAAAGAGCACAGGCAGAGACATCGGCGGTGGCTGAAACTTCCCCTGGGAGAAACCAGCTCTTTGTCCTGCTTCTTCCGCCCACAGCCCTGCCCACACTCCGCCCCTGCTCTGCCCAGGCCCCTCCCCCACCCACCACTGACTCACCGCTCATCTCTTCACCCCCCTGAAACCTCCCCCTCCACTCACCTCCTCACGTCCCCCAGCAGACCCTTTCCCCACCCACCACGAGACGACCCCGTGTGCAGCTGGCTCACTGCTTGACTCCTCACCCTGCTGCTGCCCCTGTGACACCCTCTCCACATTTCACCTTAGGGCACTAATAACATTCCCCAGGGGAACTGAACAGGCAACAGGTATAGCTTAGTTACCAGATAGATTCTCCTCTGCGTGGCAGGGAGTTCGGTGTATGCTGTATAGAGAGGGATGAAAAGTCAGGCTACCTGTGCCAAACTGAAGCCTAATCTCTCCTTTTGAAAAAGTGCTTGTCATTGACAGCCTGCACTAAGGCAGTAGTTTAACCACCTTTCTTACACAGAATTCCCTGCCAGACTCGTTTACTTAAATTGAATAAAATGACTAGATCAAGAAATAAACTCACTGGCTATGTCAGCTCCTCTTTGAGCCAGGTTAACAGTTACTGCTTCTGGGTACAGAGAATAACTGAAGGGTCCTCAATTGGAAACTGTTTTTAACCCCAATAACACATTTTCCTACACTATAAAAGCCAGCTGAATGTGGCCAAAGGCTTCCTGGGCATTGGCAAATGCCTGTTTCATGGCTTCATTACCACTTTAATGGCTCTTTAACAGTTTCAGTGATCTGCTACTGGGTCTCTGGAAGGCTTTTTCACTTATGTAAAGTTACTCAGGGATCCCCTCCACTAGCCTCCTCACTCCCCAGACTGCCACTGACTCCTCGCTCACATTCTCACACACACACACACACACACACTGGGGAGTAGGGGGTGAGGAGAGACACGGCCGGCAACTGCGGGGATCTCCGAGGGCGGAAGGAGATGGGATGGAGGAGAGGAGGAAGATTCACCCCAGACAGCAGCAGCAAGCCATGGGAGTCTTGGGGAAGGGTCAGAGCAGGGAGGGGGGCACCACAGCCCAGGTGTCCGGCAGCAGGGACGGCTGTGCTGGGGAGGCAACACCTCCCCTTGCCTATTATATCCGCTGCCCATGCGCAGAGATAATAGAGGTTTCCACAAAGCAGTCTACTAGTATGCCTCGACTCTGTTCTGGAAGGACCTCCACCTTCGGGGAGGAGAGATTAGTTCAAACTCCATGTCCTCACTCTTCAGCATCTCTCTTAAGACTACCATTTATGATGGTGGGATCTTGTGATGTGAAAACCAGCCCACTAGGAAAATTGAGTGCCTAAAGTTAAGCTCCAAATAGACAGTTAGGCTTGATTTTTTCATGAGGGCTGAGACGCCACAGCTTCCATTGACTTCACTGGGCTTTGAGGGATGCTCAGCATGTCCCTGGATTGGGCCCAAACTGAAAGGTAGACAGACTCTACAAAGTGACCTATGGGTTCCTTCCACACCTCCATATGCACTTATTTGCTTTAGATGGATTTGAAAAACTGACTTCTTTAATTCTAATGTTTTTAAACTAAAAATACACATAGATTGGAACTCGTTCATTCAGTTTCCGTTCTGTCTAGTTATCCAGCCCTCAGAATGGTGGTAAATCAACCTGTGAGTGTGCTCTGTTAGCTAGTTCATCCTCATTGCAAGCTAAAAGTTTTTTTCCAAACATCAGCAGTCTAACATTTAATCTCAAAATAGCTGGGAATTTTAGACAGTTGTGGGATACTTGAAACAAGCCATTAGATTCTCCTGTCTTGTCTAGTCTGTCAAAAAAAACTCCCAAAAGGGAAGTTGGTAACAGCAGTGGTATATCTCAACAGCAGCAAATGTAATGTTCTTGGCATTAACCCTCTCTGTAATAGCAGAAGTCAGAGAAAACCTGCAGAGACATCACGCATTTGATATATTCAATTTTCCTCTTCTGCTAACACCTCTTTTTTTCCCTCTCTCTGCAGTATACAACGCCGATTGTCTTTACAACTGCCCATTCTTCACCATGCCTATTTGCCATCCATAGGAGGAGTTGACGCTAGCTGTGCCAGTCCATGTGTAAGCCCCAGTGCCAGTCCTCGGCACAGACACGTGCCACCATCTTTTCGAGTGATGGTTTCTGGCCTGTAGAAATGGGAGATCAGAGCTTCCTGAACTGCTTTTAAGTACTCAATGACTGGACTGAACATCAGACGTAGAACTCTGCTATAAACATACTATTTGCTCTTACCACACAGAGGAACTAGTGCTAAGGCCATCATCATGGGAGTACCAGTGTAACTCATGTGGAAAGGCGAGAGCAAGAGAAACCTGGAGTTTCATCTGTAGCCTTATTCATGGAGCTTTTATTTCTTCACAAAGAAGTCATTGAAAATATTTCTTCCCAAATTTCTACTAGCAACGAGGAGGCTGGGAAATACGAATCTTGCAAAAAATGAGACAATTAAAAAAAATAAAAACCACTCAACTGTCACTGTTACATGGCTGCTGAAAACATGGAACTATATGCTGTCCATGAAAGAAAAATAAAATGGTAGAGCTATAACATTTATTGAAATAGATACACTTCATTTTACAAAAGTTGTGTTAAATTGTTGGAAGCATTCTGCACTGGTTAGTCTTGCTTGTTTTCATTTCAGAGAGGATTTTCAGTGGGAAAGGGGGATTTTGAGAAATGATTCCTGAAGTGTGATTGAGACTCTGTGTTGCTAATAGTAGGGTCCCCCTGTAACTAAAAACTATACATAGGGCAGAAGCAGAGGTTGTAGCAACAGCCCTGAGGCGTTACTAGCTACAGAGTTGCTGTTCCGAGTCAGAGCTCTTTACAGTTCTCCAGGGATTAGATGTGGTGATTGCCAGGTTCCCATGCTGACCATCAGGGACTTCATTTTGACAGAGTTTCTGCCTCTCTTTCAAAATAAACACAACCAACCGTAATATACAAAGCTGGCAGAAAAAGTCCTAGGGCTGCTAACTCAAGAAGCTGAGGATGGATGGGTAGTAAAGTCTTAATGTCACAGGGTGGATTGATTTTCACAGTTTGTTTGAATTATGCCACACATAATTACAATCATATTAATTTAGTAGACAGGGGGTGGGTGGGGGAACAGGGCACAGCACCTTGCGGCTGCAGGCAAATTCTGCAGAGTGCATACACAATAATATACACTACCTTTGCTTGGTACCTGGGTGTGTGACAGTTGTAACTGGTAATTGGTGGTATAAACCAAGTTTGCCCATAGAATATTTTATTTGAATATGAAAAATAAAGATGTGGTAAAAGCATGAATTTTAATCTCTCTGTTGATAGGGACTGATCATTTTTCATATTTGAGCACATACCTTAGCTCCACTCCCCTAAGCAAAGTTATTCTAAGATATTATAGTTGTAAGATGTTTTAGCTCAGTGGGGCTCAAACTTTTTTACTGGCGACCCCTTTCACACAGCAAGCCTCTGAGTGCGACCCCCCTAATAAATTAAACACACTTTTTTATATATTTAACACCACTATAAATGCTGGAGGTAAGCGGGGTTTACGGTGGAGGTTGACAGCTCACGACCCCCCCATGTAATAACCTTGCGACCCCCTGAGGGATCCTGACCCCCAGTTTCAGAACCACTGTTCTAGCTGAACCAATCTTAGAGACATTCTCATGGACTGTAAGTGAGGCCTAATCCCAGCCTATTCTCCAGTATATTGTCAGTGTGATGTATCATGGCCTTGTCAGTTATTAAGACCAGTAATTTTCTTAAACCAAATAAAAATATTGTCTAGCTAAAAATAGCAGTGGTGCCTCAGGATGCACTTGATGTCTTTAACCAATGCCTGCCCACCTCCCACATTCTGAAGTGAATATTCCACAACACTCCCAGACCGGAGATGACTAAAGAGCAGCTTTCAGTATCTGCACCGGGGAGGAGGCTCATTAACTGAGGGACTTAATTGCAGCTTTGACAAGCAAAAATCTTTACCACGTAGCCAAAAATAACCATAAATATAAATCTTCCAATGGGAGCGTCACAAAATATTTCACTTGGCACATACAGTAAGAGAGATTATGGAGGTACCTGTAGCTTTTAGAACAAAAACATGTAAGTATAACACAGGTAAAATAGAATTCATTACTCTGTTTAAGCATTGATGTTGTCACTCAATGTGTGTTGACAGTATTCTCTTGCTTTATTAATTTAATCAGGGCCTGGTTTATTTTTAAAGGAATCTGTTAATTTGTAAAAGAGAAAAGGACAATATTGTATATAATGTATACACAAACATCGCTGTAGAAATATTAATCCAACATAGCAGGAAAAACTCAAAAGTATTGGCCTGATGGAGGTGAGTGTGTGTGTGTCTGTAACTTTGTGAATACTGACTGTGTGCCGTTTATTAGGTTTAAACCATGCAGTACATTCCTTGTCTCAATGATACTGTAGTTTCTCCCATGACATTTTTTTAATTTCCTGCAGCATAACAAGACCCACCAAGTGAATATAGCTATTTAATGTTTCTGTTTTTTTCTACTGCAGCAAAACAGTACTGTAAATTTATGAAGAGGCTGTGCCCCAATGGCATTTTCCAATGATGTTAGTGCACAAATGCTTTAAACTAGACTGGAACTGCCAGAAGAAAATGTAAATGAAAAATTTCTTGTATACCCTTATACTGCATGAGATCAATTTTTAAAAAATTGTTGCAAATCTGTTTTTATGAATAAAATATAGAAAATCTAACTTTGTGTAGCTTGATGAGTCCATTGCCTCTCATCCCTAAAGGAGCAGCAAACCAAACTCTGGAGAAGGAGGGATCACAACACATCTTTGTAATAATACAGAAGAGTAAAAATGCACACTAATAGTCTAACTGAGTGCACATGTACCAAGACACCATAGACCTGCTTGCTTCAGCCCTGGTTGTGACTATGAATGAAGTTTAGAACCTTGTCTATATCCCTCTCACAAACCTTTCTTTGGAATATCCACCAAAGAGACTAGAAACTGTGAGGGACCAATTTAGACATTCTAAACATTTACATCTGTAACCCCCAAGGAGCTTATCTGGGTTCGGGCTTGGTGTGCATGAAACTCAGAGAGAGTCGCTGTCCCTGGGAGGAAAGGGGACCAAGGGCAGACTCAGAGTCTGCTAGGCAACCAAGAAGGAGAGAGGCGAGTCACTGTTTAGAACCAAGGAGGCTGGCAGGGCACCTGCTCAGAAGAGGGGCCATGTCTGAGAGAAAGAAGGGGGTCAAATGATTGACAAGGGAAAGCCTAGACAGAAGAGCTAACCTGACTAACACTAAGTGAGATGCCATCCCCTGGGAGCCCTGGAGGGGGGAGAAGCCATTTTGAAGCAGTCTGGAGCCAGCCATAGGAAGGGCAGGACTGACTGTGTGGGGAGCTGGTGAGTCCCAGGCCGGCATGCAGGGTACCCATGAGAACTGGCCTCTGGGAACCTGGAAGCAGGATCCCTCAGCTTGGCCCTTTCCCTCTTCAAAGTGACTAGGATTGCCAACTTTCTAATTTCTGAAAACCAGACATCACAGCAGAAGTCCTGGAACCGCCCCACACCCTGGCTTCACCTCTTCCCCCGAGGCCCCACCCCTGCTTCACCTTTTCCTACAACTAGATTTATTCAGACTAGAAGGTAAGCAAACCTACCTAGGTAATACAATTGTGGCAATGTCTGCTTCAGTGAACAAGCTGGTTTTAAGCAGACTCTATAATTATTTCATGAAAGCATGTGCTAAACCTCTCTGCCCCTTCTTGCACAGGCAATAGAGTTCATGTTCTAAATTGGGTTCTTCTGTTGGCTGGGCTACCCCATGTGTTTTCAGGGTGCATCGTAAGCCAGGGCAGGGGGAGGGGAGTAACCAAGAGAGCATGTTTATATGGAAATGGGGAGAATCTTCAAGCCAGTGTACTGAGTGATTTATAAACCAAGGTGATAGGAGACTGATATCAGCAAAAAATAGGTTTCCCAGCAAATACCATTCTGATTGAACTTGGGTCATATAGACCAAATGGTAAAAAAAGCATAAGCACAGAAAGGGGTAAAGCATGCTGGCTAAATGGGAACTCAGTGTAGAATACAGCCAAAGCACCGCTGGTATGAGAAACTCAGGAAGATAATACTTCAAATCTCATACAAAAATTTACTGAGCAATCCAGATTTAATTAGGAAGCAGAATGTGGGAAACCTATATCTTTGAGTTCGCTACTGAAGAAAAACACTGACCTGAGGGGAGGGTTACCATATTTCAGTTTGCCAACTAGAGGACACTGCAGAAGGGTGAAGGAGTGGGGGGGGCAGTTGTGAGTGTTGAAGGGGGTACCTGTGGTGGGGATACTCACTAGAGGTGGGGAGGGGCAGTGTCAGTCTGTGTCACAGTGGGAGGGCAGCTGATCAAGGCCAGGACTCAGCAACAGCTGTCAGTCAGTGCCTCCCTGGGCTGGGAACTGGGGCTTGGGTGGGAGCTGTGGCTTGCAGGGGAATGGACCAATCAGCTGCAGATGCAGGGGTGGGGCCAATTGGGAAGTGGACCAATCGGGACTGTTTCTGAGCTCCAGCTTGTCTGCTCTGCAAAAAACCCCAGTCATTTCCTGTTATTTGAAAAATCCGCCCAGACAGAGAAAGGAAGCTCGAAAAAGAGGCTATATCTGGGAAAACCCAGATGTATGGTAACCCTACCTGAGGGGAAACCTATAGAGGTGTAGTTTTACTGAGGTTTGTTAAGGTACTGAGGTATTCACAGCTGCTGCATATAATAGTTCCAGTAAAGTGGACACCGTTCCACATTTGGCACTGAGTTCACAGACATTCTATAAAAAACAGCATTTCTTGCAAAATGCTCAAAAATCTGCCCAAAGTTGGGAAAGAGATCCCCCCCCCAACACACACACACCCCTTCACTTTTAAGTTTAAAATATAGTGTCCCCATTTCCCAGTATTTTATAATCAAAGCAGCTTGGGAATCAACTGTGATTATTTCGTGCCATGTAACGTTATATGTAGCATTTGTTAATCACAGTAAAACGTATTTTGTCCTAACAGTCAATCACCTCCCACAATTAGGCTTTTTATACCAAGTTAGCTCTTGTCCTGCAGGCAGACCTCAACACCCCCCCCCCCACACACACACACACACACACACACACACGCTTAACCTTTACAGCTCTTCATCAACTTCAGTGGGATTTCATGCAGGAGTTGGGGATTGCACACATGGGTCAAATTGCAGGATGGGGGGGGGGCGGGTTAGTTTTTTTGTTCTGTAACTGAGATCTGACTACCCCTGACTTGTTTAATCCCTCATTACCTGAGAAAACTGACAAATTCATTCTTTAGTTTAAATGTTGTGATTTGAATTCAATTCAGCTTCTTCCATTTACTGACTGTCTTTTCCATCTGTTGAGGTTCTAAACACTCATACTTATTATTCCTTTATCATCATATAAAGTGCACATGGCCTCCTAAGAATATCAGAATTCTGCTGTGGCACCAGTAGAATTCTCTTGAAAACTAAGAGGGTTGAGAGCAACAGAAGGGGTAGGGCTACATTTATAGAAGAAAAAGATCCCCCTTAGCCAGGGGCCTAAGGGTTGCAGCACAATTGTCTCAGCTTTGACAGCTTAACAACTAGTCAGTCCCACTTGCAGAGCTCAGAGAAATGCTGTCCCCCTAAAACAGGATGAATGTATTAAACAGAAAGAGGCTGGGCAGCTCGGTGTCCACACAGGATGAAGTTGTTGCTGATAATGTAAAATTTAAAGTCTGTCATTCGGCTGCGTCAGTTCAACTTGAAATGGATGGGCATGCTGCTGCAGAGCCCAGGAGCGATAATGGCAGGGATAGGAAGCAGCAGAAGGGCATGAGTAGGACAAGCGACCCAGGATAGTGGCCTGGAAAACACTACAGGGATGAAGGAGCAATTCCAGTGTGTTGCACCAGCACCAGTTCCTCATTTGTGATTCTGTAAGAAACTAAAATTGAGCCAAATTTACTCAAAGGCAGTCCTTGTCAAAGGGCACAGCTGAGTCTACAGTCCATTCTGCAAGGTGGCAGCTGCGTCCCCTCTCCTAGGAACCCCACAGTCCACAACAGAGTCACCAAAGGTAGCACCACCGGCTGGGGTGTGAGATGAGAAAGGGAGCCAGGCATGCAATGATTCAGCACACTCAAAGAGCTTCCAGGACCAGGACTCACATGGCGTGCCTGCCAGAATGTGACACTGCTTCCTTGTGGCTAGTGGTGCCCAAAATATGCCCTGCAGTGGGGCTGCAGGTAGCACGCTGCTGCACCCCGGCACCTTGGCAAATTACATTTTCAAACTGGGAAACTAGGCAAGGTGCTGCTTGGAACCGTATTGGTGGGAATAAGGCGGGTTGGTGAGGAAGCAGGAGGAACAAGAGCTGCCTTCTCTCACCCCTTTTCTGACTGAAAGACAAGGACACTATATAGTGAGGGCCAGGCCAGGAGCAAACTGATTATCCCTGTTAGCCCTTCACTGTTCACCTCCCAGGCCCAACCTCTCCAGCCCCCCAACATACACATCACCAGTTCACCTATAGCCTCATTCACCATTTGACCCCATTCTCTCCTGTATGAAACCCAACCCCTCTCCCTCAACCTCCCCAAGGCCTCTGAGCACCCATCAATCCAACTTGCTCATAAACTGCCCCCTCCCCCCCGCACACACACACACAAGCCCTGAGCCCCAGGCTGAGAACCCTGTCTCGTGGTACTTAGCCTGTGCACACAGCTCAGAGCCACCCAAGAGCTCTAGACCCTTTCCCATACAAAGCCAGTATCAGTCTCCCCTCCCCACAGAGCGAACGAGAGTGCTCAGAAAGCCCATCCCCAGGCTCAGAAAATGTCCTCCTCCTTCCTCACCCCCATCCCCACCAAGCTCAGCAGCCTCCCTTAGCCCTCAGGCCAGAAACCTCTACTAATTGTTGTTGGATCTAGAGAAACAGAAGGGAAAGACTGTGGGTGCAACGAGCAGGAAATGTGCATGTGTCTGTTGGCTGCTGAGCTGAATTAATCCTGCAGAAGCATGTCTGTCCCAGGCAGCGCCTCCTCCCTCAGAAGGCCCACAGTGTATGTGCTGGAGGGCTAGGAAACCCCCAGTGACAGCAGTTGGTACCACACCCTGCAGCACATTTAGCCACACTCCACAGTATTTACAGTGGGCAAGGGCCTTTTGACATTACTGTTGGGAGCTAGACCCGTTAGTCCCTTG